TACGCTGGACTCGACCACCCGAGCCTGCCCAGGAGGCATGGGAACAGCTCTGGAAAATAGTGACAGAGAGAGAGGTGGCAGACCCCCTATGAAGTCTCCAGCCTTCCCCACATCCAGTCTTTGCTTCAGGCTTGCCAGACCCCAGGGTCCCTGGCTGGCTGCCTTAAAGACTGAAAGGCAAGGCATGGACTGCAGCAGCTACAAGGTTCAGTTGCAGGTACTCCCAACCCTTTCACTTCCAGGGCCATGGAGTAGAGGAAAAAGCTGACAATAAATGGACTTGTGCTTGTCTTCTGTTTCCTGGAGTCTCAGTGGGACAAGGGGACAACAGGGCATGTCCTTATTGACCGCTAAGCCCTGCCCAACCCACCGCTCTCCAAAGGACAAGAAGACCATTGTCATATTCCATCTGGTTTATTTTTTAGTGTCCACAACTCAGTAATCAGAGAGCAGAAGGTTCAGGAGACTCCAGTTTCCACTCCTCATGCCTCAAACTCAAACTCAAAGTATTGTGGATCGAAATAGTGAATTCGGACATAGCCATCCTCTCCACCACTGCTGTAGCTGCAAGGAGAGGGTGACGGCAGTTAGACAGGCCTGTGTATGTATTGAAGGACCCCCTCACTGAGACAAATTGAGACCAAGAGCAGATGCCAGTGGGTAGTTTATGGGTCTAGTCACCCTTGTCTGAACCCCACCCCAAAGGATATTTACCTCTTGCCATCAGGATGGAAAGCAACACTGTTGATGGGGCCAAAGTGACCCTTGACTCTTCCAAACTCCTCTTCAAAGGCAAGGTGGAAGAACCTAGGGGATGGGAAACAGGGGACACATGTGGACATCAAAGCTTCACCCTTAGGTAAACTCTCCAAGACCTCCCTCCTCCAGGAAACAGCCCACTTACCTGGCCTCAAACTTGCCAATTCTGGTGGAGGTTGTGGTTACATCCATGGCCTCCTGCCCACCGCCCAGGACTACCTACAGAAAGGAGGAGCCCAGACCTAGCTTTTAGGCCAGGCCCTGCCCCTTGAGGTAGCATCATCTGTGCACCCTCTAGACATTGCAGATCTGTTCCCCTATCAAACTTGGGACCCTTTCCCTGGAAGCTTCCCCTTGGCCTACCTACCCAGCCCCTGCTCTCTGAAGTTCTCCTTTGCTGTGGCCTTGAGAGCTACCATTTGTAAACAACCCTACCAGCCTTTACTGTGACCCACGGATGAGCAGGGGAGCCAGGGGTGGCCTTACGTGGTCGTAGATGGGGGAAAGCGCAGCCGAGTTGACAGGTCGCTCCGTTCTGAATGTTTTTTGGTGCTCAAGGGTCGTGGAGTCAAAGAGCTAAAAACACAGATTAGAAGGGGAAAGAGAGGTAAGAGTAGGGAAGGACCCTGACTTGGAGCAGTCAGGCCCACTTGGAGCCCAGCCCACACCTTGGCTGTATTGTCCTTAGAAGCGGTGACGAACATCGTCATGTCCCGGGATGTCTGAATGTCGTTGATCTGCCTCGAGTGCTCCTTGACATTCACCATCACTTCTCCAGACTGTGGGGGAAGGTGTGTCAGAAGGTGAATGACCCCACTTCCCAGCAGCAGGAGGCCAGAGCGGCTATCCCCTCTGGTGAATGGGCAGCTGTCATCTCCTCCCGTCCCCCAGCCACACTCCCCAGATACTGATCCTCCTACCCTCACCCTTTCCATTTCCCTGCCTCCCCAGTCCTCACCTTAGCACTGTACTGATTGAGCTCCCCATTTTCATGGCCAGCAATGATGCACTCCCCCAAGGGTCCCCACACAGCACTTGTGATCTTGGCATCAGCATTACAGGGGATCTTCATGTATGGTTCATTGCTATCTGTTTAGGGGGTAGGGAATAGATAGATGGTGAAGACTGAAGACTGGCCCCAGGCTACATTAGGTCCCCTCCACTCTCTGAGTCCCTGGATCCTCACCCATATGTCCTTACCAATCTGGCTGGGGTCCCGGAGATCAAAGAAACTGACAAAGCACTGGTACCCCATCTGCTTGTCCGTGGAGAACATGATGATGTTGCCTCCAAAGTCAAATCCACATGTACGGACAGCTGAGTTGGTCTTCAGCAGAGCCAGCTGCTTCCCTAGGGATGGGTACAGGTTGTCTAACTGCTCCTTCTATCCCTCAGCCCCCTATAGGCCCCAGCTGCCTCTCTACCAATCTTTATTGCTTCACTGGTGAAAATGACCAGGAGATTGGGCTCAACTTTGAGAACAAGAGATTAAATGAGGCAGTACCAAATCTCTCCCCCCCACCCCCCCAGTCTCAAGTATCCTTGTCAAAGACTCTCAGAGGTCACCAACTCCAAAACATGCACGAGCAGCAATGCTTTCCAGATCCCTCACAACTGACCGTTCGTCCTCTGCTGAAGCCCTCCCAGTCTCCTAAGGCAGCCCATTTTACACTGAGCTGACTCTCACTGCTAACAAGCTTTTTCTTAAACTGAGGTAAAATCTGTTTCCCTCACACTGGACACCAGACGTATATCCCTGAAGCCTGAGATCACACTAGGTAACTGTTTCCTCCAACCTGGGAGGGGAATGTCAGGAACAGGAAGCCTGAACTTTCTGACGAATCATCTGGCCACCTAGAAATAGGTTCAACCTGGCAAAATAGTCCACTAATCTATGAAGGCTCCTCTCCAGAATGGGCATTGCCTTCTAAGCTGATGCTGGGAGCCATGAAAAAGGAGACATCAAATAATCAGCCTAGAGAAGGCAGCATGATGTGTGGGAAAGAGCAGGAAGCCAGAAGAACTGGGTTCTGGGCCTAGACCTGCTCCTAACCTTGTGACTTTGGCCAAGTAACTCCCCCCTCTCTGGGCTTCAGTTTTCTCCTTCATGAAAGGAGAAAGCTGGACTACAGGTTCCCAAGTCCCTTTCCAATTCTGATATTCTCTGAGTCTATTAGGTACCCAATACCCCCTTAACACCAGTCAAGCCCACTCCCAACTGACCAACTCCAAGTTGTCAGGCCAAGGTCAGATCAAGGCCAAGTCAGTAAGGTGGGGGCCCTGATAGTAGTAGATCATCAATTACCTGTCTCACAATCCCAGAGGCGGCAGCTGTTGTCGGCAGAGCCGGTGAGGACATGTTTGGTGTCCCCTGGAGAAGTTGTTAGGGAATGTTATCAAATTCATCTGCCACCCTTTTCACTCGTCGGGGAGAGATTGTCTAAATTTCTAAACCGTCTAACAACCCCTGCGGCCAGACATCTCTGTCTTTGATCAACAGAAAATCTCTAAGACAGCAACATTAGAGGATACAATCAGCGTCCACACACCACACAGCTCCAGTGTGCCCAGTGTAGGTGCCCAGCCTCTCTCCATTTACTGAGTACCACACATTGACAATCTGGTGATGCAAAGACATTAGTTAGTTTGTACCCACCCCCTCGAAGGGGTAACCAGGAAAAAAGTAAAAACCCTCCCTTCCCTGGGAGCCTTCCAGCAGCCTCCAGCCTGCTCTCACCCTTTGCTTCTCCCTCTCCCAGTCTTCCATAGACTCTATCCCCCCTTCTCTCACTCCTGCCTCCCCACCAAGGAAACTCCCTAACCAAGTCCGTGCGAAATGTGGTGTGAGTGGGCTTTTAAGATCAAATTGCGTCCTATGACACTCCAAACAAATGACTCAAGAACAGATTTGTATCTTGAATGGGGTACTCAAAAGTTTTAGCATACTTTTAAGATTTCATAGCTACTAAGCTATTAATACAGTATATTAATAGCTATTCAGTTATATGTTTGTGTCTCCCTGGTGCCCCAAACCATTCACATGTCCTCCCTCAAGGTGGTCGCTTCTATAACCAACTTCATTTACTGATGCTGATTCTACCTCAGCAGGCAAATTTTCTAGCTTAGTTCTTAAATCTGACCTAGTGTTCAGTGTACTGACTCCACCTGGCACACAGGACCCCATTTCTCCAGAGGGCAGTGGCCTCCTCAGGTAGCACCACACTAACCCTCCCTCTGTTTTGAGTCAAGAGAAAGTTAAAAAAAAAAACCAAAAAAGCAACAAAAAACCCACTTCCCGAGTAAAGCCGAACCAACCCTGCCACCATCTATGCCCAAAGACAAGGAATCCTCCCTGTCTGAGCAAATCAGTTTGGAATGATACGGGCTATGGGCTGGAGGTGTGTGACAATGGTGTTAACTGTTTGTGAGCAAATTGGAAGGGTAGCATAACCCAAGTAGCAATAGGGAAGGTTTGTATAGTAGGAAGAACCCCAAAATCAGGACAACAGAGTTCCAGACCTGGCCCACAGACCCCTGATGTGTAAAATGGGCAGAAAGTATTAATAACCATAACTAACATTTATAGAAGCTCCTTAATGTTTACAAAATGCCTTACACACTTGATCTGATCCCAGCCTCACAACCAGCCACCTGGTCGAGGTTAAGTGATATCACTGTCCCCCTTTTACAGACGAGAAAACAAAGTTTGCTGACTTGTCCAGGGTCAGAGTGAATAAAGTTCTGAGGCTGGATTTGAACTTGGCAGCGCTCTACCCACTGGGACACCGAGGTGCCTACACCAACCACATTAAAACCCTAAGTGCCTCAGTTTCCCCACTCCTCCAATCTGCCATGCAGCCCCGCCCTAGCTGCTTCCCTCCCACCTCTCCCTTAGTCCCGTCCCGCTCCCCCACTCCCCGCCCCCCCCCGCCCCGGCCTCTGCCCCCCTTCCCCCGCCGGGCAGCGCATGCTCACAGGGTCCTTGGCCACAGTGAAGAGCAGGTCTCCCTCGCGGTTGTATTTGATCTGCGTGATTGATCGCTCGTGGCCCTGGAGCAGGATCGGCTTCTGGGGACGGCACCGGCCGGGGGGGTCACTGTCAAGGCACGGACTTGGGGGGCAGCCCTGCTCCGACCCCTCGGCCCCCATCCCTCCTTGCTTCGCCCTCCCCAACCGGACTCACCATCGCGGCGGCTGCAGCGACCGCACCGGCACCACAGATCTGCGCAGCAGCATGAAGACCTACCGGAAGAGAGCGAGCCTGAACTTCCGGGTCACGGCGCCGGGCCGGCAGCGGAAGTGGAAGCCTTCCATTTCCGGTGTTGTCATGGCGGCGACTCTGGGTGAGGAATTCTGAGCCCCTCCCCCTACCTGTGTTCCTATCTCAGTTTCCTCCTCTATAATAATAATGACAACTAGCGCAGAGCGCTTTAATCAGGTGTTTCATAGGAGCCCTTGGATGACGCCTCCTTGGGGATTGCTATTACCTCCATTTTACAGATGGAGAAACCGAGGCTCATTGGCTGGCTCAGGGCGACACAGGTAGCTGGTGCCGGAAGCGGGCCCTCCCCGCTCATTGCTCTGTTCGCAACACCGCGCAGCCCTTACCAGAGATGGGGGAGAGGGGGGTCTGGGCCCTGGAGGGTGAGTGACAGGCTCCCTTTCCTCTCCTAGGGCAAGTCTGTGCCCTGGTGCTGGTGGCAGTGTTGTGGGGAGGCTCCAACCCGCTGCTGAAGAGGGCCACAGGCAACATGGAGCCGGTGCTGGAGGGGAACCGGCTAGAGCAGCTTCTGCAGGAGATGAAGTACTTGTTTTTCAACTACCAGGTAGGGCCTGGGGATCACGTGAAGGGGGGGGAGCTTTCTCGGACTTGGATTCTCCAGGTTCATCCGGGGGCCTAATCCTTTAGTAAGAAAAAGCAAGTCCACGAGATGGGGCTAAAAGGAGCCGTGGTGTATGTGGGAGAAAGGGCTCCTTCTGGATTTGGGATCCTGTCTTAACCTTGACTGTTGCTTACTACCTGTGTGATGATGGAAGAGGCTTTTCTCCCCTCTGAGTCTCAGTTTCATCATAAGGTCCCTTCCAGTTCTAACTTCTGCAATCCTAAGTTGGCTAAAGACTCAGTGCATTTGACCAGATGTGAGGCCGAGTTTGTCATCAGTTCTTCAGTTGCCTACCTCTTTCCACGCCCAAGCTTCCTATCAGGAAGAGGGATGCCATTATTAGCATGACTTTCCATTTCCCTTGCCTGGAAGACAACCCCTCAGATGATTCTATGCTGCCTTGTGTACTGACCCTAGCTTTTCTCTTACCCTCAATCCCAGTATCTGGTGCCCCTTTGCCTCAACCAATGTGGCTCCCTGATCTACTACCTTACCCTGTCATCAACAGGTAGGTGTGTCTCTGTTTTGATGGCTGGTCATCTGGGTGGGGTATGGCTAATCGGCATCCAACAGGGGCTCCAAGATACCTTCCAGAGTGGTTCATTTAGCAGTTTAATTTCTCTTTCTTCACTTCCCTCCTTAGCAGCTGTAACTATGCTACATTGTAGGATTGGGCTTCCCACCCTAGTAACCTTGGCAATTCACAGGCATTGTGAGTATGAGAGATGGATTCAGTCCTGAACTCCACAGTTCAGTCTTATCAGTGTGGTACAAAACAAAGCCTTGGATTTGATGTTGGGAGACCTAAGTTGGAATCCTATTTCTGCTAACATGTGTGACCTTGGGCAAGACACTTAACCTCTTTGAGCCCATTTTCTCATCTGTAAAATGATGGTATTGTTCAAGAGTGACCTCTCATATCCCTTCCACCTCTAAACCTATGATCTGCTAGCCAAAGGGATGCAAAACCAATTGAACAGGAGGGAATGGGTTCATGGGTTGTACGGGATAGGCAGGCATGGCTGAGTTGCATCTGCATCATCGAGGAGAATACCCTCATGGGACCACAGATCCATTGAATATTTGGAGAGCAAGATGGCACCACTAAAGAATTCTTTGCTTCTTGGACAGATCTTCTACTCTTACATTTGACTTACATGCAAGCAAATAGTGCTTCCCAGGCCTTCTTCACATTACCCTCTACTCAGGTCCTTTATTGACAACAATGTTTTGTTTATTCTTGTCATTTTCTTTATTCTGTGGTGTTAACCAAAAAGCATAAATTATTCCTCCACCCCTAGAAGACTGCAGCATATTTCCTTACTTTTAAAAGATCCCTAACTTCATTAATGTGGTATGGACACTCCTTCCGGGACTTAGGAGATGACCTTTATGAGTTGCTTCATCCATTCCCCATGCTGCTATACCTGGCTAGGCTGGTTTTCTAACCACAGCTTGCCTTAAAGTCTTTCTAATTTCTATTTGGGATGAGGCAAGTGGAGGGGGATCTGTTGTTACTATGTCTAGCTTACTGAATTTGCCCTGCAGAATCTGAGTTCAGAGACTGTGAGCACCATGTGACTTCAGTGTGAAAGGTTGCGAGTTCTTAAAACATTAGTATTCTTAAGGACTTGATCCCCCCCAAGAGTAAATTAGAAATGAGGCTTGGATTCAGCTGCACTCCTGTTGACCAAGTTTCTACATTGTTGTGTTTTTGCTTAGCTGTCAGAGCTCTATATGTGTCTCTCTTTAAAAGTATAATAGCTGGCATTTCTGTAGCTTCCCGAAGGTTTGCAATGCACTTCACACACAGTAGCTCACTGGATCCTCACAACACCCTTTGAGGTAGGTGCTGTCCTTATCTCAGTTATACTGACAAGGAAGCTGATGGGAAAGGAGGTTTAAGTGACTTGTCCAGAAATGGGTGTCTGAGGCAGGGTCCTAGCCTGGGTTTTCCTGACTCCAAGTCCATCACTCTGTCTTTCTAACCTAGATGAACACCCACATCCCTCCTATTAGACCAAGATCTTTATGAGGGCAGGGAACACTTTTCCTGCTTTAGAGTGGACCCCAGGGAATATCAAAATGTTCCCCTCCAGATCTGTCCCTGGCTGTGCCCATCAGTAACTCCCTGGCTCTTGTGGTCACCCTGGTTGTCGGGAAGTTCCTTGGGGAAGACATTGGTGGAAAATGTAAGTAAGACCACTCCTGGGGAGAAATCACTTGCCAGGCTCTTAGGTGCCCAAGCTGGGTGACTTCTGTGCATTTTGAAAACCCATAGTCTTTGGGGGGAATCCAGTCTCTGATATTTCTCTTAGCACACCTCCCCCTTCTTTCCCTACAGTCAGGGTAGGGAATTGTGGAGCATGAGAAGACCCCATCTTGTGTCCCTTTCTTTTCTGTCCCAGCACTTAGCCCAGTGTCTAGCACATAGTAGGTGCTTGATATTGATTGACTGATTGATTGACCCAGGGCCTGCCCTGGGAATGGTGCTCACCGTCTCCGGAATCATGCTCTGCATTGCAAGTTCAGTGGGCAAGACAGAATAACAACAGGATCCTGTGGCCAGCCCCACCCAGAGACGACGGAGCATTGGAGCAGGGAACCCTGGGCTGGGGGATCTTGAGCCACCTACGATTGAGCTTTCCTTGAGAAGGCTGTCTTTGACTTCTCCTTGGCAGTGGCCTCTTCCTCTGTGATTCAGTGAAGCCTAATGGGGAGGAGGTGGGCTCAGAGACTTCACCACTTTGAGCCCGAAGTTTCATGCCTTGGAAACTCCCCCCCCCTCCCCCTTCATTGTATGACCCAACCTCTCTCATGACCTTGGCCTCCAGCCAATATTGTGGTTTGTGCAGAGCACCCTGGGTGTCAGGTGCAGAGTGTTCGTCAAGCTCAAACTTAAGGACTTTCTGAGCCTTGGAGTGAGCTGATGTGGGTTGGGGCTGCTGGTGAGTCAGAGCCCACAGGTGCTGCAGTCAGTTAAATGCCTTCCTTCGCCTCCCCATCAGCAGCCCTGGAGGGGGCCCCTTATGCCCTAGACCAAGAGGCTTCATCACCAGCTTTTGCTCCTCTAACTTTTTCCTGGTCCAGTCTTTAGAGTGGGATATGGTCTGGAGAAAAGGGTAAATAAGGATCAGATAACCCAGAAAGAGAGAAAACTATTTTCTTTATTAGGACAAAGCCTCTCCTAAAGCGTGTATGCCCCTGTGTCCTTCCCACTCCACCTCGTATCAGGCTTCACAAAGTGGAGGAAGGTAACCCTTCCTTTCCCCTGGAAGCAGAGGCTTTCCCTCCTTGGGCAGGCTCACTGCAGGTTGGTGGGCCAGGCAGACTAGAAAGGCCTGTGGATCTCCAGCTGAGATCCTGGCAGGAGATTGGGGGGCCACAGCAGAAGAGGGTGGGTTGGTTCAATAAAAGGCTGTGCCATGGCTGCTGATGGAATGCTGGCTGGGGGCCGGGAAAAGGCAGGGAGGGAAGGAGGTTGGGCTGGGCTTCTGGGTTTTCTGGAATGTCATCCAAGTTTAGTTCTACACCACCTACCCTAAGCAGCATTTTCCAAGAAACAGGCTTCTTCTACCATTTCTGCAGCCCTCTGGAAGAGAAAGATCAGTCAGCCAGAAGGGAGCCAATCTGGGTCCCAGAGCAGAGGCCCCTTAACCTATCAGAGCTGCAAAGGGACCCTGGAGACCATGTGGTTCACAAATTCACTGTACAGATGAAGGGATTAAATTGCTGTGGAAAGATGTGGAAAGATTTGCTCAAGGTGACAGGGCCCAGTGGAGAGCCAGAATGCTCCACTGGAGCCCTAGTGGTGAAGTTATGGAAGAATGCCCCCAGGCTCACCAGAGGGGCACTGAAGGGAACTCCCAAGCCGATGGGAATAGAGATCCGTTTCAGTGTGGTGGCAGAGCCAGGATTAGAACCCAGACCTTCGGATGCCTCGTTTTGAGCACTTTGCTTCACCTTGGCTAGATTGTGGGACTATCTACACGGCTGTTCCGTGTCACTCTATAGCTGTTCCATTCTAAGGACACAGAGCTCACACCTGATCCAAGGGCACCTCTGTCAAGGTAGTCCCGTCCTCCTCCACTTCCTGGGCCCCTGCCAGTTCCCTCCTGGTGTGGGGTGCGCCATATACACTCCTTTCTCCTATGAGGAAGGAGGGGGTATATGTTGACCCTGTATTGAGACCACACAGGAACTGGAAAAAAGCAGCTGTGGCCAGGACTCCCCCTCCAAGCCCCTAGGTTCCCCTCCTCACCTCTGGCCCACAGCCAAGGACTCTTTCCTCCTTTTTCTCTAAATTAGTCTTTTTTTCAACTGTCTCCTTCCCCATACTGACTGCTTTCCTCAGTTATGTTTTTGGCCACCAAAGAGGCTCATGGGATTAAGAAACAAGAGAGGTTTCTACGTCACTGGTTATATCCATAACCAAAATGAGGGCATCTTCTGCCCCACTCAGGTACCTGAAATCCCACCATTAGAGGTAGCAGGTGTGATACCTCATATTTACATCTCAGTTTACAAAGCACTTTCCTTCCCACCCCTCAAGGAGAGTAACTTCAAAAGAAGGGAACCCGAGCCTCAGAGAGGTTCAGCAGTTTCCTTGTTGGAGCACAGCTTGGGACCAGCTGTCCATTTCCAGCCCATACTAGAAGATATAAAGGGCAGGGAGACCTTGGGGATTAGACAACACTGGACCTGGGGCCCACACGCAAACTGCTCCTTTCTAGATTTCTGGAGATCCCCTTTCCTCCCCTCCTGTAGGGTAAGTGTGTGAGGAGGAGAACAATTTGTAGGTGGTGTTAAAAGGGTGCTGAACAGAGTTTGGAAGACCTAGGTTTGAATCCCATCTTAAGTCTTATACTAGCCTCTCCAAGCGTCAGTTTCCTTATTTGTAAAATGGGCCTCACTCTCTCTCTTGCACCTAGCTCACAGGGTTGTCACAAGGGACTGAGGGACAACTTACCAGGCTGAAGTAGGGGGCGCCTTCTCAGATGAGGTCGGGCCAACCTAGGTCTGGCAAAGGAAATGGAGGATTCCTTCCTGGAGAGCTGGGCCGCAGGAGCCCTGAAGATATCTGCCTGGGGGAGGGAAGACCATGGTCTACATCTCCTGTGACCAGGCTGGGACACAGCTTCGACCTGTCCAATTCCCGCAGTCCTGATACCTGCATATTTGCAGGTATCATTCCTAATGTCTTTGGACGTGGACAAGGTACCATCCGTATGGGTGGCCTTAGTCACAGGGACGATGTTAAAGGCAGCTCCTGGACTCAGTACACCTGAGCTTGAGACCTGTATCTGCCACTAGATAGTGTGTGACTTGCTCTGAGTCTGTTTCCTCATATGTAAAATGACTTGGCTCTAGGAATTTCCAGGGCCTTTCTCTGCTTTATCAATCACCTCCTCTTTGAACTTCACCATTATGCCCTTTCCACCCTTCCCTGGCTGTCTCACTTAACCTACCTTGTGCCTGTAGGCTCTAGGCTCAAGGCTTGGTGGGCGCCTGTAACACACAAGAGAAAGACTGGAGCAGACGGCTGATTCAGGAGACCCAAAGGGCTGGGAGCCTGAGGTGGGGATCTCTCCCCTCACTGCCCATCCATCCCCAACTCGTGGTTGTACCTCCCAAACCCTAATATACCAGAAGCCACCAGGCAGGGAGGGGCTTGGCACCAGAAGCTCCAGGTAGGGCAGGGCCTTATACGCATCCTCTGATACAGCCACATAGTAACCGCCATTCACCAGGGCTTCTCCGCCCAACACTGGCGTGCCTTCCAGTGTGCAGAGTCTGGAGGAGAGAAAGTAAAGGGCTGCTCCTCACAGGGGCATACCTTCAGAGACAGCCGGAGAAAATGCTTCCTAGAGTTGTATGACAATGCTAGTGTAGTAAGCCAACATCCTTCACACCACTAGAATCTGATTTAGAGCTCTAGACCTTACAGACTGTCTAATCCAAGCAAGTAAGAGGTCAATCAATAAATGACTATTAAGTGCCTACTATGTGTCAGGCACCGTGCTAAGTGCTGGGGATACAAAAAGAAGCAAAAGACAGCCTCTAATGTAAAGGAGTTTATAATCTAATAGAGGAGATGGTGGAAAAAAATGTGGAAAGCAAGCTATATATGGGATAAGTAGGAAATAAATAATTAACAAAGCACTGGAATTAAGAGTAGTTGGAGAAGGCATTCTGTAAAAGGTGGAATTTTAGTTAGGGCTTAAAGGAAGCCAGGGAGGTCAGGCACTGAGCAAGAGCATTGTAGCCATGGGGGACAGCTAGAGAAAATGCCCAAGGACCAGAGATGGAGTGTTCAGTTCAAGGATCAGCTAGGAGGCCAATGTCTTTGGAGAGTCAGGTGTAAGAAGACTGGAAAGATAGGAGGGGGATAGGTCATGAAAGGCTTTGAGTCCCCGAGAATTTTGTATTTGATTCTGAAGGCAATAGGGAGCTGCTGGAGTTTACTGACTTGCTCACAGATGAGGATTTGGACCCAAGTCCTTGGACTCAAAAGCCAGAGCCCTTTCCATTGGACTGCATGGCCTTTCTTCCCTAGGATTTGGAGCAAGAGACCAAGTTTAAATCTCATTTCCTCATTTGTAAATGGGGGTTGAACTAAGGTGACCACCCAAAGGTTCCTTCTAGCCCTGAATCCTAGGATCCTTCCGCCCTGCAGTGCAGTGATTAAGAAGTCTGGAAACCTAACGACTGGCCTCGGCTTCATGAGGTGATCTTGGGCAATTCACTTCACTTTTCTGGACCTGAATTTCCCTCTATTGGCCACTAGGTGCCAGGACCAAGTCCATGAGAGCCACCAAAGACACTGCTTTGTGCCCCCCTGGCCAGCACCTACCTGCTCACTGCCCTGCCCTTCAGCTTGGCCTTCTCAGTCAGTTGCCTCAACACTGCTCCAAAGTCCTGACGGGAGGCAAGGGACAGGTGCAGGCTAAAAGGGGGGCTAAGCAGGTCGCCATTTCTGAATACCCTAGGAGAACAGAACAAAGGTCTGAGAGGGAAGACTCCGCTCCTTGCCCTGCCCTCCACCCCACCCACAAAGCTCTGTGTGGCCTGCCATTGTGGGCCTTAGAAGTTCACCTCCAAACCAGCATGGGGGGGGAAGACCCTTGATGGGCCAATGAAAAGGGAGTCTGCCATGGCTGGACAGGCCAGCTCTCTCTTCAGCAGAGTGTCCCTTGGCCCTCACTCCCATTCCACTCCCACAATGTCCTCAGCACTCACTGAATGGTGCAAGAGGCCGAGGCTGGGATCCTCCTTCCAGGAGACCCATAATTTGGTCTTGGGAGAGTTGGAGGAGCCTGATAAAATAATAGCTGACAGTTACACAGTGCTTCATGGTGGGCAAAGAGCTTTACCCACGTCACCTCATTGGCCCAGCCTGGTATAGAGGAGAAAGCAGTAGATTTGGAGTCACCTTTGCCACTTCTCTGGGCCCCAGTTTTCTCCCTGTAAAAGGAGGGGTTTGGACTAGATGGCGTCTGAGGGCCCCCTCAGCTCCTAAACCCATGATCCTCACAATGCTGCTTAAAGGTACCTACTGCCGATGGCGCTGCCGAGTATCACAGAAGCGAAGGGATGTGGCAGCGCCAAGCACTCTGCCGTAGGGCCGACTCCAAACCTAGAGCCTTTTCTGCTAGATTGTCCAAAAGGGGGTGGTGAGGAGCTGGGGCCTCTGAGCTGGCCCAGTCTCAGGCCCAGCTCTCCTAACTTCTGGCATTTCCTTACCCTTGTTGGCCTGTGGATGGTTCCTTCTAGTTAGAATATATATCATCATCCTCTGATTCTAATCAGCCAAACCTGACAGGTTCCAGGCAGCTCATCCTGCTCCCTACACCTCAGTCTGCTTTGTTGCTCACACCCAGCTGAAACCTGGGGAATTGGGGCGGGGGGGGGCCGGGACAAATGATAGTGCTCATTTGATAACCCCCTCCTGAAGAAACTGAGGCCCAAGGGGGGGGTAAATATCTTCTCCAAGGTCACAAAGGAAGTGACCCCTGGTAAGATGAAAACTGGTCCCCATTACTCCAAAGCCAGTGCTTTTCCATGTGAAAGTTGAAGCTGTACCCAACACAGCAGCAGACACATATTCATAGCCCTAGGAGCCTACTAAGTCCAAAATGTTGGGGCGGGGGGGCAAACATGGGTGAGAGAAAGGGACAGCATAAACAGTTTCTTCCCCAGAACCCACCAGGAACCTGATGTTTTTCCTGCCTGGTTCTTCCCCTCCAAGGTAGATATAGCTGGAAGACACAGAAAATGTGGTCACCTCCTGGGTCATGGCACCACTTCCCAGTACCACCCACTTCTCCCCCTACTCTCCTTTATACAGTCATGTGGCTTGAGTTTTTTGGCACTATGGCTGTGTCATATGGCTGAGTCTTGAACCTTTGGACATCAGAAAGGGGTCTGGGACAGTCCTGTTCAATTTTTTTTTCCATCCTGATGGATTTTTCACCTACTTGCAGCCTGATTTTCTTTGGCTTTTGAGGTGAGTTGCTACCAGGTCTGATTTTGGCAATGAGTATTAATCTAAGTTACATTCTCTGATCTAAGCCTAGGCCTCCAGTATCTCCCCTTCAAAGGTGGAAAGGCCTAATGGTTCAGGATCAGTGAGGTTGGCTTTTGGGGCATCCATGGCCAGCCCAGTTTCTCCACTCATGGATCCCTATTTTGGCCAACACCAATCACCACAGCATATGCCATCCAGGGGAAGAAACAGCCTTTAGCCTTGGGGAGTTCTCAGTCTGATATTGAGGCATGTAAACTACAGGGCATGTAAACTAGACCCACAGACAGAAAGCAGTGTCTTGTGAGCTAAGGAGGGGAATGATGGCAGACGAACTGAGTCAAGGAGAATTTTCTAGAGTCTTTGGTGTGGGTGGGATAATAGATAATAATCTCTAGCTGCCCCAAAGGTCCCCTGGCCCCAACTCACGGCAACCTCCGGAAACGCTCAAAGCCGGCAGCAACATACTCTCCACCACTCTGAAGCTCCGACAAATCAGTGATGATGTGGCCATGCTGGGGGGTGTACAGGGTACGAATGGCCAGAGGAGCCTGTATGGCAGTAGTCACCTCATTAAGAAATGCCTCAAAAGTGGGGAAACGGCGGTGGGTGATCACCAACCTTCGCCCTGGGGAGAAGGGGTCACCATTCCGGTATACTACCACCTTCTTGGCCGTAGGAGGCCCAGGAGCAGTGGAAGCCATGGTGCAGCAGCTGCCCTAAGCTGGCCAGGGACGCTCAGCCGTTGCTAGGCAGTTAGGGCAGAGAAGGGAGGGGATAGAAGCCCTGACTATTGAAGACAAGAGGCTTAACTCCTACCTCCCCATTCTAGTCAGTCATCAGAAGCCAAAAGTGGCAGTTGGAAGCTGGGAGGCAGACTAGGGGATTTTACCCCAATTACCAGGGGAGACTTTGATTACCTAGTCCAATCATTAGAGCAACAGTCCCCTCTATACCATCCCTAAGAATTGGTTCAAATCTCAGTTCTGCTTTTTAAACTTTGTTTGGGCTTGGGAAGTCCCTCTCCCTCTGAAGACCCTCTGAAGACCTCAAATTTGGTCCAGGTAATCTGGAAGGTCTCGTCCAGTTCTAAATCTGTGATTCAGCTTCTGCTTGAAGACATTATCTCTTTCTCTCTCT